GCATGCGTATGCGTATGTGTACGTGTATGTGTATGTGTAAGTGCATGTGTATAGGTATATGTGCATGTGTGCATGTGCGTGTATGCGTATACATATATATATGTGTGGATATGTATAGTGTGTATGCGTATGTACTGTATATGCATAAGTACCTACATATATATGCACTTATGTGTATGCATATGTATGTGTATACTCGTACACATACATACATGTGTATGTGTGTAGATCTCTGCATACATATACGCCTTGGTATATGTATATGTCTACGTACAGGTGTACGTACATGTGCATTCATACATTTGTACGAGTACACACATATACATGTATATTGGGGTTTGGAAAATGAGATTGCAGTGGGACGGGGAGCCCCTCACCGGGAACTCGGGTTCGGTTTTGTGTTCGTGTCGTGCATGCGGGCGAGGCGAAGCTGCGTGGGCGCGCCAGAGAGGGCAGACCCTGAAGTCGCTAGGGCGATTCGGATGCAATCGGCCGCCCCTCCACCCCCTGTAGGCGCGCGGTGGCCAGGGGCGTCCCGCCGTGGTGTCTTGTGGTGTACCGTTGGTGCCCCGTTGGTGTCCAATCGGTGTTCCGTCGGCGGTGGGCGGGCGGTGGCAGGGGGTGTACCGACTTGGTATCGATAGTGAAGTCGTTAGTAAGATCGGCAATGACATCGCTCGAATGGGATGGATAGTGAGGTCAAGAGTGAAATCGGCAATGAGGTTGATTGTGACATTGGTTGTGAGATCGATAGTGGGATCGACCGCGGGAACGATTAGAGGAATCGGTAGTGATATCGATAGTGAGACCGCAAGCGAGATCGATCGTGAGAAAGATCGTGACATTACATCGCAGCGCAATATCGTCATCACGCGTCGTCGCTGACTCGAGGGCATCAACATCATCATCATCATCATCATCATCATCATCATCATCATCATAATCATCATCATCATCACACCCGTCGTATTTGCCGGCAGTTGGTTGTTTCCCCCCACACCCCCAACCTCCTTATCACCCGAAGGGCGGTCGTATAGGCACATGTACATACATACATATAATTATACCTATACGACCACCCTTCAGGTGATAAGGAGGTTTGGGGGGAGGAACCAACGTCTCAATCGATCGGTCTCACTATCGATCTTAATATCGATCTCACTCTCGGTCTCGCTCCATAGATCTCACTCTATCGATCTCACACTCGAGATCACTCGATCTATTTCATTCGATCGATCTCACAATCGATATGACTATCGATCCCACAATCGATCCCACTATCGATCTCACAATATATCTCACATTCGGTCGCCCTATCAGTATCACTATCGATATCACAATCGATCTCACAATCAACGTCGTCATCATCATCATCATCATCGACATCATCGTCATCAACGTCATCAAAATCATCAGCACAAACATCGGGACACCATCATCATCATCACCACCTCATCACCATCGTCAACAACATCATCATCATCATCATCGGGACACCATCATCATCATCATCATCATCATCATCATCGGGACACCATCATCGTCACCATCATCACCATCAACAACACTATCATCGGGACACCATCATCATCATCATCGGAACACCACCGTCATCATGACCATGATCATATCATCATCATCATCATCATCATTATCAGAATGACCAACATCATCAACATCATCATCATCAACGGGACACCATCACCGTCACCATCAACATCGTCATCATCGGGACACCATCATTATCGTTACCATCATCATCACCATCGTCATCATCACCATCAGGACACCATCATCATCAACACCAGCATCATCATCACTGGGTCACCATCATCAAAATCATCTTCACCTCATCATCATCTTCATCATCGACATCATCATCACCATCAAACACGATCATTGTCACCACCATCATCACCAACATCATCATCATCATCATCATCATCATCGGGACACCATCATCATCATCACCAGCATCGTCATCATCAACCGCATAATCATCAATCTCACCATTATCATCAACATTCATCGGGACACCATCAGCATCATCATCTTCATCGCCATCATCTCATCATCATCAACATCATCAGGACCATCAGCATAATCATCATCATCAGCAACATCAGCACCATCAACATCATCACCATCGGAACACCATCATCATCACCACCATGGCCATCATCATCACCATCATCATCGTCATCATCACCATCATCGGGACACCATCATCGTCACCATCACCATCCATCAACATCACCATTATCGCGACTCCATTATCATCATACTCATCATCATCGGAACATCACCATCATCATCATTATCGTCATCTCAGCATCATCATCGGGGAAAACCATCATCATCGGGACACCATCATCATCAACACCATCATCATCAACGTCATCATCATCGGGACACCATCATCATCGTCACCATCATCATCACCATCATTATCGTCATCATCATCGGAACACCATCATCATCATCATCAACAGCAGCATCATCATCATCGGGCCACCACCATCAAAATCATCATCATCACCTCATCATCATCATCGTCATCAACATCATCAGCATCATCATCATCATCATCGGGACACCATCATCGTCATCATCATCAACGTCGTCATCGGGACACCATCATCATCATCACCATCATCATCATCATCAACAACATCGTCATCAACATCATCATTATCATCATAACCATCATCATCCTCGGGACACCATCATCATCATCGTCACCTCATCATCTCATCAACATCAGAATCATCAACATCATCGTCATCACCATCGGGAACATCATCATCAGCAACATCAGCATCATCATCATCGGGACACCATCATCACCATCATGGCCATCATCATCATCATCATCATCATCATCATCAGCATGAACGTCGTCATCATCATCATCAACATCATCATCATCAGCATCATCATCATCGTCAACATCATCATCATCATCATCATCATCATCATCATCATCATCATCGGGACACCGACGGGACACCGGCGGGACACCACGCGGCACCGGTTGCCGGAAGGGAGACTTTTGGTCCGGCCGCGCCTCAGCAAGAGGCGGGACATTTCTCGCCCTCCCACGCAGCTTCGCCTTGCCCGCACGCATGGCACGCACGAACACGAAACCGAAACCGAGTTCCTGGTAGGGGGGCTCTCCGTTCCACTTCGATCTCACCCCCTCACCTCTGATATATACACACATACATCGGAGGTTGGGGGGCGAGATCGAAGCGGAACGGAGAGCCCCCCACTGGGAAATCGATTTCGGTTTCGGCTTCGTGTCGTGCGCGCGGGCGAGGCAAAGCTGCGTGGGCGGGCGAGAGGCATTGGCCCGCCGTGGCCACGGGGGGGGGCAAGACAGAATGGTGGGCCAGCGTGGCCAGGGACGCCCCGCCGTGGTGTCCCGTCGGTGTCCGCGGTGGTGGCCGGGGGTGCGCCGTCGGTGCTCGGTCGGTGTCCCGTCGGTGTCCCGCGGGAGTCCTGTCGGTATCCCGGCGGTGAGGTCGGCAGGGAGATTGCAAGAATGAGATCAACGGAGTGAGGTCGGTAAGGTGAGGTCGGCAGAGTGAGATCGATAGAATTAGATCGGTCGAGTGAGATCGATAGTGAGGTCAACAGTGAGAGCGGTACTGAGATCGAAAGTCAGATCGGTGGTGAGATCAACTGTGTGAGGCGTTGGTTTCGTCCCCCGAAAAAACTCCTTTTCTATACGACCACCCTTCGTGTGATCGAAAGGTTTGGGGGTGGAAGAATCAACTGACGACAACTGCGATGGCTGCCATGATGACGATGCTGAGGGTGCGCCCTCGAGTTTGCGCTGACGCGTGGTGACGATGCTGCGTCGCGAGTCGGCCCCACCATAGACCCCACTCGATCGACCTCACCAACGATCGATTTCACTATCGACCTCACGGCTAATCCCACTGTCGATGGATCCAACCTTCGATCCCATTATCGATCTCACAATGAATGGCGGTGGGTACGATAGGGACACCAGCGGGACACCAGGCGTGATGTTGCTTGTTGATGCTGAACACCACCAAGACACCATCAGGACTCCCACCAGGACACCATCGGAGCACCACTCTCACTATCAATCTCGCTATCGGTCTCACTACCGATATCACCACAGATCGCACCACGAGACACCACAGGGCACCGACGGGACACCCGCGGGACACCGACGGGACACCGATCGGACACCACCATCTGAGCACCAATCGATCTCACTTTTGATCTCACGATCGATCTCACCACGGGACACCGACGGGACACCCACGAGACACGAGACAGGACACCGACGTGACACCCACGGAACACCGATGGGACACCACGGGACACCAACGGGACACCAACGGAACACCGACAGGACACCACGGCGGGACACCCCGGCCACCGCCCGCCCACCGCGACGGCACACCGACGGGACAACGACGCGTCACCGGACACGACGAGACCCCCAGGCGACCGCCGGAGCACTGGAGCGAGGGTGGGGGGACTGGTCAGCGGCTCCGACCCACCCGAGCCACAGCGGAGTCGTTCCTCTCGCCCGCCCGCGCAGCTTCGCCTCGCTCGCACGCACGACACGAAGCCGAAACAGAAACGGATTTCCCGGTGGGGACTCTCCGTTCCACTTCGATCTCACCCCCGAACCTCCCATCACCCAAAGGGTGGTCGCATAGGTATAGGTATAGAGAGGTAGATGTGTGCAGGTATATGTATGTATGTATATGTCTGTCTGTCTGTCTGTATGTCTGTCTGTCTGTATGTATGTATGTATGTCTGTATGTATGTATGTGTATATATATATATATGTGTGTATGTGTGTATCCGGTCCCTGTCCCTCCCTGCATACATCACTGCCTCATTGCCTCACCTCCCTCATTCTCCTTCCGTTTCTCCCTCCCTCCACCTCCCGTTCCCTCGCGCTGAACCCCTCACTCCATCGCTTCCCTGCTGGCGGAGCTGCACCGGGAAGCCTGCGCCCCTCCGCCAGGATGTCGTTCGTGTCCGTGGCCATGCGCGAAGCCCACCTGCCCGCCTTCCATCTGCGCCGATGACCGTGACGTCTCGGCAGGGGGCGGGACCTCTCAGAAACCCTCGCGCCTTCTCAGAACGTGTCTGTGTCTCTGGGGAAGGCGTATGCAAGTTCTCAGAAGGCCTGGGGACGTCCGAGCCTCATGCGGAGGCCCGCCCCTTCCCACTTCCCACCCTTCGCTCGCCGCCGAGGGTCACCTCTGCGCGTCCGTCCTGCCCTCCGCTCCCTCCCCCCTCCCGTCCTCGCTTCTCACGGCGCCCTCTTTGCCCGCGGGGGACCGCAAGAGAAAGAGAGACAGAACGAGAGAGACAATGAGTAGAGGCCTCCTAGATGGGGTCGGAGTAGATGGGGTCGGAGGATCCCGCCGCATCGGCGATACATCGGCGATGCATCGGCGATGCATCGGCGATTCATCAGCGATGCACCGGCGATGCATAGTCGACGTGGGCGAGGCATCGGCGACGTCGACGTGGAGCAAATCGGGCTGCACATCGAGCCGCATCGGCGATGCATCGACGATGCGGCGCGATCCTCCGACCCCATCTACTCCGACCCCATCTAGGAGGCCTAGAATGAGAGGGGGGGAAGGAAAAAGAAGAGGCGTTCTTGAAGATTGCCTTCCAAACCGCCCGCTGCTTGCGTCGACCCCCCCAAGAGACCTTCCGCGTACCATCCCCAGCTGGATACCAAGCCTCGTCCACCTCCTCCTCCTCCTCCTCCTCCTCCTCCTCCTCCTTCTCCTCTTCCTCCTCCACTTCTGCCCCGATCTGCGCTCTCCATGAGGGAATGTTACGCGGTATCGCGATCTGCAGTCTCAGTTGTTTCCAGACTGCAGTCGCAGCAACTATTTGGCAGTGTGTGACTGTGTGGTCTGGGGTGCCTTGTCGTGCCGCAGCCCCGCGCAAAAGCCCCTCCCCAAACCGAAACACGCCGCCGCCGAAACATTGAGCAACCACACGTGCGAGGATTAGCGCTCCGCTGCCAAACGAAATATTGATTCCACTGGAATGCCATATGTGATGGTCCGTGATGTGGCGCGACTTGTCCCACACGGGCGCAAACCCTGTACGTACATCCATAATCCCAAAAGCAAATGGCAACGGGCACCGAACTGGCTTAGGCTGCATCCGGGCAAAATAAACATGGCGACGACGGCATTGCTCCGTGTATGTGGTCCGTGGATGTTGTTTGTTTCCGAAACGGTTGGTACCCAGCAACGTCGCATAAGGACCCCGCGCAAGCCGGTGAGGGCCTACTTGGGGACAGGGACGTACAGGTCTGCAAGGTCGCTAGCTTTTTTCCCGCGCTGACATGCTGGGCGAGTGCCTCGCGACCACCTGCTGACCCCTCTTTAAACACCCTCCGCACCGCTTCCAGCGCTGGAGTGTGCTGAAGGCTCGGTGGAGGGCACTCAGTGCGAGTGCTTTCCCTGTCCGCAAGGACGCTAGCCACATCTCAGAGGAAGAGTTGCAATCGGCTAGTCGACGAGCTGCTTTGCGCTTCGGCGGCCAACGGGGCCGCATATCGACTCGCGGACGCCTTCATGGCGCGTGCCCGAACCCCTGGGCGATGGCGATGTCCCTCCTTGGAGCTCGAGGAGGAAGCTAAGAGTACCGGAAATATAATTCTGGCCATCACCTCCCTTTCCCCCCCCGACCCACGCCGAAAGCACCGAACACGGGGGGCGAACTTAGACGCCCCGCCCCGACCTTGCAGCAACCCGGGCAACGACCGCCCACACTGTACACCACGATCGATGGAGATGCCGTGGGTGCGGATCCGAACCTATCTCGCGCGGCAAACGCGTGAACATTCAATGGCTGAAGCAGCCTGCCGCCCACCACCCGCCCTCGCTAAGGCCGCGGGACCCACGAGGCGCGGTGCGTCGCACACCCCTCACACTGTTTGAAGTGGTTCGACGTTGGGAGGGGGGTTGGGCAGGAACGGGCTTTCGCGTGCGAGGTGCGTGGTGGTTTGGGCCCCCACCAATTCAGGGTTGAGGGACAAATCCTTAACCAACGCTGTCCTCCAACCATGACGGGACGGCTCTACCTGGCCAGGCTTGCGCCACTTGTCGCGGAGGTCCCACACCTCGTTGACGAGATCCTCGTCGCGGAGCACCGCCATGGAGCCGACCCTGTCGGCGTGCACGTTGATCTCCCGCTCGTGGCTGATCCTGAGGGTCGAAGGCCCCCGCGACCTGCTCCGCGGGGGTGGAGCAGGGCGACGAGGCCACGCCCTCGGCCTCGGCCTTTGCGTCGCCCTCCGCCGCCGTTTCCGGCCCCGGGGCCGCCTCCGCGGGCCGCAGCGCCGCCTAAAGACTTGCTCGTGATTGAGGGCTCACGCTTCAGCAGCCCGCCTGCTCGACCTGTCCGCCTGGGCCCGCCTTCGCGGGCCCGCCGGCTAGGGTCTGCTCGCCCGATTTGCCCGCCTGGTTCTGCAGCAAGCTTCTGTTCCTAGCCCCCTCTCCGGCTAATTTCTCGCGTGCTCCATCCTTATCATTTCTCCTTCCATCCGTCCTCGCTTCCCCTGTCTTAAGGGCTTCGCCGAATACGCGTGGCAGGCAAGGAAAAAATACCCCCAATGGGCCGGTACCGAGAGTTTGGGATACGTATGCGAACAAATCGGAGCGAACAACATCAAACTGCTTGTTGTTGATGCTGTTGTTGTTGTTGGTGGTGGTGGTGGTGGTGTTGGTGTTGGTGTTGTTGTTGTTGTTGAATATTATTACTTCTAAAGAATAATTATTGTTGGGCCCCCTGGTGCAAGCCCCCCTCGCCGCGCCTAGGCCGCAGCCGCATTTTCATCATTTTCGTGAGGAAGTCTCAGGCAAAACGGGGGAGTCCGGATCCGGTTGTTTGGTTGACGCCCGCTTACCCTGTCAAAAAACAATATAAAATGACATGTCTTGTTCTAACATAACCAAACTTCAAGAATCCTTTGCAAAAAATGGCACGAAGTGCGCACTCGCGCGCGCAAGACGAAATCCGTCCAAAACCTTAGTTTTCGTAGCGATTTTAACATAAAAACATCAAAAACCAATGGTTTTTCAAAAAAAAAAAAATGTCAAAACTTCATCCCGCGCGCTCTTGCGGATTCGTAGGAAACCCAACACTTTTTAAACATTTCTGTCAAACGGGCTTTTGCGAGCAACTTTTCGAATTTCTGCAACAACGGTTGCGCACCTGCCAGGGCCATCATCCCTGTCAAATAATACCATGCGGGACACATTCGTTTTTTCTTCGCGCGCGCACGCCGTCGTCGTCGGCCGCGGGGCCCTGAATAGTAGCCACGGTCGTCCGCATGCCACGAAGTGAAGTGTCCGAACGTCATAGGGCGGGAAGCTGGGTGTGGGTGGTGGCGAAGAGTCGTTTGGAAATTTGGTAGAGCTTGAACCGGCCCCCCCACAAAGTGGGGGTATTGCCCGCCTCCTATGAAAACCCTGGCACTGGTGAGAACGGAGTGTCCCCACGTGCTAGTAATTGTTGTTGTTGTTGTTGTTGTTGTTTGTTGCTGTTGTTTGTTGTTGTTGTTGAACATTATTAATAAAGAATAATTATTGTTGGGCCCCCTGGTGCACGCCCCCCCCCCCGCGCCTAGGCCGCAGCCACATTTTCATAATTTTCGTGAGGAAGTCTCAGGTAAAACGATGTCATCCAGATCCGGTTGTTTTGTTGACGCCCGCTTTCCCTGTCAAAAAACACTATAAAATGACATGTCTTGTTCTAACATAACCAAACTTCAAGAATCCTTTGCAAAAAATGACACGAAGTGCACACTCGCGCGCGCAAGATGAAATCCTTCCAAAACCTTAGTTTTCGTAGCGATTTTAACATAAAAACATGAAAAACCCAATGGTTTTTCAAAAAAAAAGTTTCAAAATCATCTTGCGCGCTCTTGCGGATTTCTGAGGAAACCCAATATTTTTTCAACATTTCTGTCAAACGGGCTCTTGCGAGCAACTTTTTCACGTGCTTCGAACTTCTGCAACAACGGTTGCGCGCATGCCAGGGCCATCATCCCTGTCAAATAATACCATGCGGGACACATTCGTTTTTTCTTCGCGCGCGCACGCCGTCGTCGTCGGCCGCGGGGCCCTGAATAGTAGCCACGGTCGTCCGCATGCCACGAAGTGAAGTGTCCGAACGTCATAGGGCGGGAAGCTGGGTGTGGGTGGTGGCGAAGAGTCGTATGGAAATTTGGTAGAGCTTGAACCGGCCCCCCCACAAAGTGGGGGTATTGCCCGCCTCCTATGAAAACCCTGGCACTGGTGAGAACGGAGTGTCCCCAGTCTTAAATGATTGTTGTTGTTGTTGTTGTTGTTGTTGTTGTTGTTGTCGTCCTCCCCGCGACCCGGCCCGCGACCCGACAGCGACCCACCCCGCGACCCAGCCCGCGACCCAGCCCGCGACCTGGCCAGCGACCCACCCCGCGACCTGGCCCGCGTCCCGGCCCGCGACCTGGCTCGCGACTCACCCCGCGACCCGCCCGCGCCCCACCCACATTGCCTAACAGAAAAATTTGGCGCCTGCGGCGGGAATCTTCAGAGCCTCCTAGACTGCCGACGTCCCCGCCGACCCCTCACTCTTATACGCAACTGCGGAGTGCTACGCACCAGCGGTGCGTACTTCTTCATGAACTTGGGGAAGGGCCTCGTCTAGCAGTGGGTGGAGAAGGGCTTTTGTCTAGCAGTGGGTACCAAGCGGTGCTTTTTCAAGCAGCTTAGGGAGGGGCTTGGTCCAGCAGCGCGCGTTGCACAGCAAAGGGCCCGCAAGCCCTCGGGGGCCAACCAGGGTGCAGAAGCCTCCGAGGCTCGGAGGACCTCCGAAGGCCTCCGAGCAGTGCTTCGGAAGGATCCGTCGGCGGCGAGCGAAGAGGGGAAGCGAGAAGGGGCGGGCTTTCTCAGAAGGCTAGGGAGCCCCCCAGCCTCCGGAGAGGTTTTCTAAACCTTCCCCGAACACACAGACAACCTCTCAGAAGGCCAGCGGGCTTCTGAGAAGCCCCGCCGCCCTCTGAGAAGGCCTTCTCCTTCTCATTTCCCCCCCTCGCTCGCCGTCGATCCTCTGGGAGGTGGCGGACATCCGAAAGGTTTTTGGATGCTCCTGGCGGCCATCCGAGAATGGCGTGGGGGATTCTTGGGGTGGCTAGAGAGCCCACGAGAAGCTGCAGAAACACCTTTCAAAAAACTCCCGGGTGGAGGGTTTGGGGGTCGGTCACATCCTGGGGGGACCGGGGGAAATCCCCCCCCCAAAATAAGAAACACCGCCGAAGGATCCCCGAATGAGGGGTTTGGGGGGGGCCCTGGGGGGACCAGAGGAACGCCCATTGGTACTAGGCGCGCCTATAAGCTGTGCGTTACTCGCAGCTCGACGGGGCCCGTCCTCAAGCGGAACAAAAAAGTCTTTGGTACACCTGGGGTGTCCCTGGGGTGGCTGGAGAACCATCGGACCCCCCCGCACAAAAAATCAAAAACCTCATACAGTCGGACTCGATTGGACAGGACACGCGAGAGGACACAAGACCCTTCCGAGGGCCACATTGCCGCAGGAATGTAGGAAGCTTGGGTCGCGAGACACAGGACACAAATGTAACCTTGATTTGGCAGGGTCGACCTACTAATCTGGGCCGACTGTAATGTTTCTGGTGGACAAAATGTCCCGCTCTGGAGCGGGGCCCGCGGGGGGGATGGAGCTTGGGTTGGGTTTAGGGAGGTGTCTGAGGTCCCAAGGTTCCAATCAATAGCATTCCAATGACAAGCGCAGAAAGCACATTCAAAAACACACAAAACAAACCACACACCCACACACACACAACACCAAAACAAAAACCCGTGCGGAGAGGTTTTCGGAAGGGGGGGGTCCTTTGGGGTCGCGAGGGTGGCCGGAGAACCACGGGAAAGCACCAGCAAGAAACGCCGATTGTTTTTCTTCTTAGTTCCCCCCTCCCCTCGAAAACTGGGGAGGGTGCGGAGGACCCCCGCAAAAAACAAGAAAAAACAAAACATATAACAAAAACTAGGCAAGGGTTTCCGGGAAGGGGGTTTTGAAGGGCAGGGCCATGGACCCAGACCCCCGACGTCATGATTTTTTCACGACGCGACCCCCAACATGAGGGGGATTGGGGAAGGTCTGGAGAGAACCCCCAGAACACCAACCAAAAAACAGAAATCCTCCAAGTGACGTTTTCTCCCACATTGGTTTCATGCCCTCCCTGAGCCTGGGGTGGCCAGAGGCCCCCAGGAAAACCGTAAAACAACAAATCCCGAGGAACAGAAACGAGTGGGCTTGTTGTTCTTGGGTTTTCCCCCAAGAAGCCCGGGGTGGCCAACAAACCCTGGAAAACAAACGAAAAAAACCGAGCGGGTGCTCTTCTGGCATTTCCCCCCCACAAAGCCTGGGGTGGCCACAAAACCTCAACAAAACATCCGGGAAGACATGAGAAGAACATTCGGAACCATAAGAAGAAGAACCGTGAAATACGGAGATTGACACTCAGGAGCATCGGGGAACTCACTAGGTAGGAGGCTTGGGCCACGTGAAACAGGAAAGACCGCAAATCATGAGAATGAAGACCGCGCGACGAGCAGGCGAAACCTCGACACCCGGGCATCCTCCTTCTCCTGTGGATCATCCGTCTCCTCGCCCGCCCCCCCCCCCGCGCACTCAAACTCGAGGCCGTCCAATCCGCAATAGTGGACCAACTTCGGGTAGACCTGGGAAGACCGCCGGATGCCAACGATCGGATTCCACTCCCGCGGGAGGGGGAGGGTGGGGGGCAATGGCGAGGGAGATGTGAGGGGAGTGGAAGAACTCGGGGATCTTCTGACCCTGGTCAATCCAGACCCAGGTCAACCAGGCCTTGCAGAATCCTGCAAGATCCTGCACCCAAGCCCGGGCCAATGCCAAGCATCCTGCAATCCTGCAAGATCCTGCAGGATCCTGCACCCAAACCCGGGTCAATGCGACCCTGGCTCTGCAGGATCATGCAAGATCGAGCGCTCTGGCTGACCCCCGTTTGCAGTGGCCCCCGTCTCTTGAGCACCGAGGAAGCAAGACCGGGCTTGCCGGGAAAGCATGGGTTCGGTCGCCGGTTGGAGGGCGTGGCCGCTGAGGGAGAAGAGTCGGGACGATTTACTCTCTCTCACGCCACTCCCCTGCCACCTTCGATGGCAACTCACGGGGGACTTCCATATCATCTTCTCTGCTCTTACGACTCGACACTCGTCGACGCTGAATCGACGCTGGTCGACGCCAGATCGAGGCTGAGGGGGTCCCACCCCCCACTGCATACCACCCCATTCAACCCCTTCCGCCCCGCCCTCTCCGCCCCGCCTCCCACCCGTCCCGCCCCGCCCCACCCTCCGTCCCGCCTTCAACTCCTTCCGCCCCACCCCCCACTGTATACCACCCCCTTCAACCCCCTCCGCCCCGCCTCCCAGCAACCTCCTTCCCCTCCCGTCCTCTCCCCTTCCGCCCCGCCTCCCACCCTCCCCTCCCGTCCCGCCAGGGGAGGAGCTGCAGCGGGGGCGGAGGAGGAGGAGGAGGAAGAGGAGGAGGAGGAGGAGGAGGAGGCGGAGGAGGCGGAGGAGAAGGAGGAGGAGGAGGAGGCGGAGGAGTAGGAGGAGGAGGAGGAGGAGGAGGCGGAGGAGGAGCAGCGGGGGCGGCCGCACCGGGGGGAGGCGCAGAACCCCTGCCGCGCGGGCGCCCTGCGCGGCCGGGGGCGGCGCCGAGCCCCTCCCCGCCTCGCGAGGCTGGGCGGGGGCCGGCAGGCGCGGGCCTCGGGGGATCATGGGATGGCCACCTGTGGCCACCTCTGCATATTTTTTCCCCCGCCCCCCTCTCGCTCTCTCTCCTCCCCTGGCCCCATTTCCTCGTCCTCCTCCTCCTCCTCTCCTCTCTTCCTCCGCCTCCTCTTCCTCCGCCTCCGCCTCCGCCCCGCTCCGCCTCCGCCTCTCTCCTCCTCCTCCTCCTCCTCCTCCTCCTCCTCCTCCTCCTCCTCCTCCTCTCCTCCTCCTCCTCCTCCTCCTCCTCCTCCTCCTCCTCCTCCTCCTCCTCCTCTTGGGTTGCTCAGCCCAACCCTCGTGCCCCTCCCCTGCGGATGGAGCGAGATGCCGCCGCCGCCGCCGCTGCTCCGCAGAGGCCGCGCCGAGGGCCGACGTTGAGTAGGTTGCACACGCAGAGGAGCCCCACCAGGATCGGGAACGCCTGCCACGGCGCCATCGCCCGTGGAGATAGCACAGGGCGGGGGAGATAGGAGGAGGGAAGGCGGGCGGGCGGGCGGGCGGGCGGGAGAAGGAGGAGGAGGAGGAGGCGGAGGAGGAGATGGAGGAGGAGGAGGAGGAGGAGGAGGAGGAGGAGGAGGAGGAGGAGGAGGAGGAGGAGGAGGAGGAGAGAGGAGTAGGAGTAGGAGTCAAGCTAGCCAGCTCGAGCGAGTCAAGCATGGCATGCCCAGTCCCACCCGCCCTCCCACAACATAAGAAGCAAAGCTGGCACAACTGGGGGCCGAAGTCACACCGGCCAGCCGGTTTGGTACAGCTGATGCGGCCGCGATGGCGGTTGCCGACGGGAACTGGCGAGCGCGTGTTGAATGCCGCGCACGCATTGCCAGACGAGTCGAGAATGGCCCGGTACACCGCAGGAAGCCAGAGGTGGCCGTGTCGAGAACGGCCCGGTAAGCCGGGTCCCATTCCTGCCATGCATTTTGCGACGTGGACGACAGGACGTCCATGCGACGGTGCCAATGACGGCGACGACTCTAGAAGGATTTGAGCATGCGCTCGCGGCGACGCGCGCGCATTCGCCCGCGTGGTATTTTTTGCACAGGATTCGCGGCCTGGGTGCATGACAGAGCATCGCGAGTGCACCGCGCGATGACGTGAAATCGCTGGATTTGACAGAATTCTTAAGATTCCTATGGTTTTCCTATGATTTCAGCAAGAGAGCTCGGGCAGGAAATTTGCAGTTTTTTGTGAAAAATCTTTGGGTTTTTGATGTTTTTATGTTGAAATGCTTGCAAACACACGGTGTTCGGTAGGATTATGACATGAACGCGCGCGTGTGCTCTTTGTGGTATTTTTTGCAATGGATTATCGCCGTGGACGACAGGACGTCCATGTCGAGAGGAAAAAATAAGAAACATGTTGATTTTGTATTGTTTTTTATAGGTTAGGATGGGACCACCCGGATGGGGCCCCTATCTGCCGGCCTGAGGGGGGAGTAGGAGTATACTCTAATAAGGAATAAGGATAGGAGTAGGAGGAGGAGGAGGAGGAGGAGGAGGAGGAGGAGGGGGAGGGGGAGGTGGAGAGCATTCATACGAGGGGAGAGGAGGGGCAGGAAAGGAAAAAGCGAGGAGGGGGACAGAACGAGAGGACGGAAAGGGAGAGAGACGGGGCTGCCAGGCCCGTCCTCCTCGTCAAGACTGGGGACGAGGAGGGACAACTTATGGAGAGAGGGCACGCGTGGCGAGGGGCTTCAGATAGTTGGGAGAAGGGGGGAGAGATGCAGGCAACGCTTGTGTTTCACAACATTCCCAAGGACCCCACCCAACTGAGGGAAACATGGACTGATCGACTGTATCGACTGTGACCCCCGCCTTCTTGGGGTGGTGACCTTAGCCGAGCAGTTTCAATTGTGTGGAGCAAGAAACAGAGGATGAGGAGGTAAGGAAGGAATTGGACGACCAGTGGTAGCTAGGAGGGGAACGTTCTTCAAGGGTAGGGCGAAAGACATATGTTGAAACCATTCGCGCCATCATGCTGCTGTGCAGCATGTGGGATCTCTTATTTGCTGGCCCAGTGTTCTCCATTCTTCTTGGGGCCAGCATGGAATCCCAGGAGGGAGTACATCATGTGAAGGGTTGGAGGAGGATCGAAGGCGATGTAACCAAACCGTATATGCTCGCCCAGCCCCCTCTTGCCCCGCTCCGCCTTAGAATTAATGAAACACTGAGCATGAGCGGGCTTGCTCGTTGCGAATATGAGCTGAAGGAAAAGGATGAATGAAGCAAGAACCTACATAAGATATGAGGGATAATTAGAGTCAAGAGGGCAGCGCAAAGATAGTTCGAGAAAAAACTGAGAGAAGTAAGGGAAGGAACGAGAGAGGAACTGAGGGAAGGATGGGAGAGGGAGGCAGGACTGCGAAAACCTAGGGGAGTCCGCCTACGCCACTCTCATCCTCTCACCTCGCCTTCCAGATCGCAGCGTCGCAGCGTATCCTCAGCGCGCGGCCCTCTAGCGCGCGAGCGCGACGCCGTGCAAACGAATGTCAAAGATGACGCCTTCCGGCAGCACGGGATGAGCCAGAAAGCCCCTGCTGGGCCTCCAACTCAATCTCCTCGTCGTCCTCCTGCTGTCCTCGTCTCCTCCTCGTCCTCCTCCTCCCCCTCCTCCTCCCCCCTCCTCCTCCTCCTCCTCCTCCTCCTCCTCCTCCTCCTCCTCCTCCTCCTCCTCCTCTCCTCCCCCTCCTCCAACATGTCCCGGCAGGGCAACCGCTGGCATCCGCCAGCCGCCCAGCCCATTAACAGGGCCGCAAGAGAGCCCCCGGCCTCGTTGAAGCCCCTGCCGAGGACCGGCACGATGTTCATCTGTCCCATCATGTCCTAGCGGAGTGACGGATGGGCCCAGGCCTCAAGAAACGAGGACGGAGGGAGGGAGGAGAAGAAGGAGAAGGAGAAGGAGAAGGAGAAGGATAAGGATAAGAAGAAGGAGAAGCAGGAGGAGGAGGAGGAGGAGGAGGCGGAGGAGGAGGAGGAGGAGGAGGAGGAGGAGGAGGAGGAGGAGGAGGAGGAGGAGGAGGAGGGAGGAGGAGGGAGGAGGAGGAGGAGGAGGAGGAGGAGGAGAGGAGGAGGAGGAGGAGGAGGAGGAGGAGGAGGAGGACGAGGAGGACGAGGGGGGAGGGCCACACGGCCGAAGTGTGCCCAGGCGGGCACGCAATGCAAGCGCTGGTTCCTTCTATCTCTTTTGGGATCATCTAAAAATACATTGCTGCAAGAGTAGCTACTTTCGCCGCTATCTGGAGCCCTGTCCAGAAACATCTATAACATTACATCAGCAATTATGGCAGCCTAACCCATTGTAACATTCACCCAACAGTGCCCGTGGATGATTGAAGCTTTGATGCACTTGCGGCCCGTCAACGGCGAGACGTACATGGCAATTCCAACGACGAGACGGAACACATACCGAAATCAGGTTACATCCAACAGCTTCACCGGTGTCCCAAGGGTGTCCCATAACAATTCGAATGTGCTGGTGCTAAATCCCTTCACCTGTTCGTCTTGGGAAAGTGCCCATAGGACTCAAAATTGCACATCCTAACGATTCCAATGCTACCTATCCGATCCCCCTCTTCCTTTCGCCCTCCCTGCTCATGCTCCTGTTCCTGCTCCCGCTGCTGTTGCGGCTGCTGGTCGCGCTGCTGCTCCTGCCTGTGCCCATGCTCCGTTCCTCCGACTCCGCCTGGTCATCCTGACCCCTCCTGCTGCTCTTTTTCCTTCTTGACACCTTTATGTTCCTGTTCTTCCCGCTCTTAACCGTACTGATTATGATCCTCCTGCTACCGCGCTTCCCTCTCCCGGGTGCCTGGAGGGAGGGGGCAATGGGGGGGGGAGCAATCAAGCCGAACGACGAGATCTCAACTTCGCAGCAAGATTATCGGGTGGTTGGTGGGTCGGGCCAGACGCACCGAAGAGGGAAGAGGAGATTAGGGGGAGGACGAAGAGGACGAGCAGAGAGGGTGGGCGACAGAAGTGGTCGGGATGATGACAAAGAGGAATATGATAAGGAGCCTGAGGCGGAAGGGAGGAGGAGAGAGGATGGAGGAAGGATAATGGATGGACGAGGGAGCAGGGGAAGAAGATGAAGAGGACGGGCGTAGAAGGACGTAATGATTACGATGATGAGGACGACATAAGGATACAGGAGGAGGTTGCGACCTTTGTCTCCCGGGCTGTGGCGGGAGTGACACTGGAACCTGCAATCTGCAGGAGCAAGCTAGCACGGATTCGCTGCAAACATGGATCAAACATGCTGGCCTGGAATGCCGTGTCTTGGACCCGGATCAACAGGAGGAAATGGTAGCCTGCACAGCCAGCATCTCCCAGAACAGCTCTCGACGGACGTGCTGAAGGCAAGGGCGAGGCGTATTGCTAGAGGCCTCCTAGATGGGGTCGGAGTAGATGGGGTAGGATCTCGCCGCATCGCCCATGCGTCGGCGATGCATCGGCGATGCACTGCCGACGTCGGCGATGCATCGGCGACGTCGGCGTGGATGAAATTGGGCCCCAAATCGAGCCGCATCGCCGATGCATCGCCGATGCATCGGCGATGCGGCGCGATCCTCCGACCCCATCTACTCCGACCCCATCTAGGAGGCCTAGAAGTGCCCAGGCCCCCTTTGGGGCGAACTGTCGTGAGGCTCCCTGCTGAACTCTGCTGCCCTGCTTTCTTTGCTGCGCCTTTTGCTCGTCGCCTCTTGCCCTGGTCCAGCCCCGTCTACTGCCTGCTGTGTCCTGGAGGACTCCGCGCCCCCGGGCCCGGACTGCCTGCTGTGTCCTGGAGGACTCCGCGCCCCCGGGCCCGGAGCGGCGGGCCTCCTCCTCCCCCCTCCTTCCCCCCACTCCTCCTCCTACCTCCTCCTCCTCGCTCCTCCTCCTCCCTCCTCCTCCTCCTCCTCCTCCTCCTTCTCCTCTTCCTCCTCCTAAGGAGGAGGGGTCTCAACAAAAGAGAGAGCGTGATCCACCGCCGCTTTACTGTGGAAAATTGCCCCCCTCTTCCTCCGGAACCTGGGCCCCCCCCCCCCCCCCCCCCCCGAAAATCCCCCCCCGCCTCTGCTGGACCCCTCCCCCCCCCTTTCACCCGGCAAACCCCCCCCATTCCCTCTTGCCCCCCCTCCCTCTCCAAAAAAACCACGGGGGGGTCACTGCCGGTTCGAACCCCCCTTGGAAACTACCGGTTCGAACCCCCCCCCGAAAACCAGAGGAAGGTCACTACCGGTTCGAACCCCCCCCCCAGAAAACCGAGGAGGGTCACTACCGGTTCGACCCCCCCCAGAAAACCAAAGGGTGACACTATTGGTTCGACCCCCCCCCCTCGAAACCCGGGGGGGGGGGTTCACTACCGGTTCGAACCCCTCCCCCACCCCTCACCGCCAGCAAACGACTCCCGGTCCCTACCAGCGTCCGCACCACATCCCCCACTGCTGTTCCCAGAACCACTGTCCTCACCACCACTGTCCCACTGGTTCCATCACCGTCTCTACTGTCCCCACCAGGTGCCCCCACCACTGCCGCACTGTCCCCACTGTCCCCACCACTGTTCCCACCACGGTTCCACTCTCCCACTTTCTCCACGGCCTCAACCACTGCCCGACTGTCCCCACTGTCCCCACTGTCCCCACTGTCTCCTCCGATGTCCCAATGAGCTGTCCCACTGTTCCCACCACTGTCCCCACTGTCCCCAGCACTGTCCCCACTGTACCTCTGTCCCATTGTGCCACCGCCGTCCTCGCCACCGCCCTCACCACTGTCCCCACCACCACTGTACCCTCCACTGTCCCACTGTTCCCACCACATTCCCACCGTCCCCACACCACTATCCCCACCACCACCGTCCCCACCACTGTCCCACTGTCCCCACTGTTCCCACCATTGTCCCCGCTGTCCCCACCAGTGCCCCCACCAGTGTGTCAATGTCCCCACTCTCCCCACCGTTGTCCCACCACGATCCCACTCTCCCAACTTTCCCTACGGTCCCCACCACTGTCCCACTGTCCCCACTGTACCTACTACTGTCCCACTGTCCCCGCCGCTGTCCCACTGTGCTGTCCCAGCGTCCCCACTGCCCCCATCACTGTCCCACTGTCCCCACTGTCCCCACCACTTTCCCCACTGTGCTACTGTCCCACCACTGTGCTCACCACCGCATTCACCACTGTCCCCACCACTACCGTCCCCACCACTGTCCCACTGTCCCCACCACTGTCCCGCTGTCCCCTCACCACTGTCCCCACCACCACCGTCCCCACCACTGTCCGCACCCCCCCACCCGGTTTTCGAGGGGGAAGGGGGGGGGTGGTGGGGGGTTCGAACCGGTAGTGACCCCCCCCCAGGTCTTCGAGGGGGGGGGGGTTGAACCGGTAGTGACCCCCCTCCCCTTTTCATGATGGACTCGGGGGGGGGGGGTTCGAACCGGTAGAGCCCCCCCCCTTGGTTTTCTGGAGGGGGGGGGGTTCGAACCGGTAGTGACCCCCCCTCGGTTTTCCGCCAGCAGCGGTAGAGCACGCTCTTTCCAACAAGAAAATGCGGTGGGCCGACCAGCCTCGCGGCCGCTCGGGGCTGCTCCCCGACTCCCGCGGAGACGCCACGAGACAGCCAGGAGGGCCCACGAGGCCTCAATCCCATCATGCCCGAAGAGGCTGCCAGGCTGTCCAAAGTCCAAGCTTGCCGAAGACGGCCTCGCGATGACCCAGGAGAGACATTGTTTTTGAATGGACTGTTGCCTGTCCAATGCGCTGATTCCAAAAAAGGTCGCGAGATCGCCCCCACCCCCGGGATTGCCAAAGACGGCCACAAGGTGCCCCCAACATGCGGCTAAGGTCGACAAGCAAAGCCGCACTATGCCCCCACGATATGCCCAAGATGGGCGCTGGAGGTCCCAAGGTAACGCGCATGTTTCACAAGATAGTCCGAAGGTAGTCCCACGATGCCTCTTAAACTGTCGTGGCACAAACGCAGGATGGCTCAAGCTGGGGTTCCAGCGGCAGAGGGCACAGCCTCTCATTTCACAGTATACACAACAACTAAATGCAACATGTGTTAACCTGGCAGTGGTAAACGTAGCCAGGGCATCGTACTTGGACCAACAAGGTGCTATATCGACAGCGCGTGCTGATACCACGAACTGCACATCGCAAACACGACGCGCAGAAACGACACCAGAGCCAGAACGAACGAGAAGAGATGCAATCACGGCAGCGAGCGAGCAAGCCTCCGTCTCCTCTCTCCGCTCCTCCCTCATCTCTCCTCCTCTTCCTTACTCACATTCGATTTTGCGTTTGCTGCTGATCCTCCTCCTCCTACCACCCACCCCTGCACCTCCTCCTCCTCCTCATCCTCCTCCTACTTTTCCTCTCGCGTTCCCCACGCCAGCCAAAAAACCCAAGACTGCGCAGGTGGCGACATAGCCAGACCTCGAACAAGAGGACGCCCGAGAGAACACTTGGCTTGAACACTGACCGAAAGGGCGTAAACACGCTGTCTGCTTCTGCTCCTGCTCTTCGCTCTTAAGTCGTCCGTCGCCCTCCTTTCACCTCCCCTCCCCCTTCGGATCCTACTACTGCTCCCGCTCAGCGCCTTGCGAGGTGCTCCGGCGGCGCAAGCCTGCTGAGCGCCTGGCTGCTGCCTGGTGGCCCGAAGCGAGCGCTGCCTGCTGCCGATGGAGGCCCCGGGCCATGCGACTGCGGCGACGATGCTCGAGGCACGCGTGCCCGCCGTGGCTGCCGCCGCGCAGTAGCTGACGACGCATCCGCCGAAACTGCCCGCATATCGTGGCGGCACAGCATGCCAGCCAGGTTCCGAGCAGCCTCTGGCGTCATGCTGGTGATCTCCTGCTGCGTAGGGATGAGCCCGTGAGGTGTCGGAGCCGGCGGATGTCGTCGGTCGATGTGTTGGCCGCGTTCCCGCGCTGGCCTCGCCCCGTCCTGAACAATGGCAGCTTGGGGGGCGACTGTCGTCTTGTGCGGTGATCGTCCAACTGGCAGTGTGATGCCCGCCCTCTTTCTGTGATGTCTCCGAAGACTTTGCATCGCCTGAAACTTGACCATGGTGGTAGCAGATGGTGGAAACCATATGCGCTTGTTATTGATCTCGGGAAGCTTGCACTGGGCCTGATTGCCCTGCGCGTCAAGTGAAATAGGGCTTCCCCATGTCTGGCCCGTGTCCAGGCGAACGACTTTGAGATGGTAGAACGGCGACCATCACTGTGCGCCAAACAACGTGGACGCCGACCTCCGCAATCACGCACCAACCGCTCTCGATATCAGATTCGAGTCGCTTGCTTCTGCCCAGGCCATTAATCGTGATGCTCTGCAGGTGCGTCCAAATACGCCCCGTGAATAGCGGTACTCGGGTGGGTGAAAATGTTTCCCAAGAGAACGTCAGTAAGGAGAGCGTGGGGTGCTTTGACGTGCCACGGATGGCCCCGCGAACACCTTATGAACAGAGATTATGTGCCATCGTCGTGTGTCAGAGTCTCCAATTAGAACGGGTCCTTATTATGGCTCGTTCCCGAGCTGCCACGATGTTCAAGATGTATTAGCCATGGCGTTGCATTACGCAGACCAGTGTTGAGAAAGCCGCAACTGCTTCCTCGGTTCGCCTCATGATAACCTGGCGCTCATAGCACTCCCAGTGGTCGTTGCGTAGCGCGACGAAGCTGGCGAGGGGCCTCCAGTTCCTGTGTTTCGGCGTGCGCCTGCGCAAATTACTGAAGGCCCTGGGCAACTCAACTCATCGTTTCTCGGCACGTGGCCCACTGCGTCGTTGATGAAAGCCGATCGCGTGGTCCGCATGGTGGGATTGCACCGCAGAGCCATGCGGTTGGCGATCAACCGAGGGCTTCCAGAAGCGAATGGTGCGTTGTTGTCTGCGGCTGTCTGGTCTGTTGCCCTCGGTCCTGGTGGTGGCGTAGCGGCGCCGTCGCCATTGTCGCCGCAGTGTGGGTCTGACGCTGTGCCGCTGTGTTCACCAAGAGGTGGCGCCTTCACGTGGGCCTTCGGCACTTCAGCAGAAAGCGCTGCTGCCGATCACGCCGCTGCTGGCGCGTTCCCGCGCAGGTTGACTGTCCGCGGCGGCTTTGGCGCCAGCGATGGTGTGAGCAGTGCTGGTTTAGCCGCAACTGCAGTTGGGTGTCCCCGAGACAGAGGCGGGGGTTTGCCGACTGGGATCGGTGCGCTTGTTTGCGCGGGAGGCGGCGGCCTTGGCGGCCGCGGTGTCAACGCCCTCCCCGAGCTCGATCCGCCACGAGCCATAGAATGCCGGGTCCCCCTGGGAGGCCTCCGGCTGCTCAGACACTGGTGTCCTG